TGAGGAACAATGCCCTGGTAATGTCACCCTGGCGGCAATCAATTTGGGTGTCACATGAAATAGGCATAATTATTCCGCCAGCCCTGGCGCTTGTCTCTAACCAGCTCCAGGGGCCCAGGCCTGGGCAGGGAAAGGGGGGTCGAAATCAACTGTGGGTACACCAGGCTGGCAAGAGGAGGTACTCCAACTTGGCCTGCTAGTACCTGGCTTCTTAGCCCCTCTGGTGGGTCCTGTGGTTTAGGGACCCTTGGATGCCCAGGAGCTATCTTGCTTGGTCGCCCTTCATTTGTTTGCTTGGACAAGAGCAATCAGAGAGGGCCCCCAGGGAGTTGTGAATGCCAGGGGCAGGAGCACACACACGTTTCATCCAGCAGTTGGCCACCACATTCTCGCTAAGCACTCACCAGTGCCAGGCTGTATGTCAATGCCAGGGTGCAGGAAGGGAAGCTGCAGAGAGCTGAGCAGAGAGAGAAGCACAGGCTCCCTGTAGCTCCTGAGCTAGGCAGCCCCTTTCCCATCCTGAAGTGGACCCAGAGTAACGGGCACCCGCCTGAATGCTTCCTTCTTGTTCTTACTGCACAGGGACTCAAGTCTTACTTGCTCTGCCTTCATTTCCACGTCCTTGCGGAACCCCCCTCCCATCACTCCTGCCCACGCCTGAACGCAGAACTTTTACGGACAATATCCCCCATTTCAGAGGAAACCGAGTTTCGTGGGATAATAACCACTTAGTGAGGTCCAGCCCACACTGGACGCTGCCTGTCTCAACCCCCTTTCAGATGCCATAAACCTTGAATCCGAGAAATGCAAATCAAGGCTATAATGAAATCCCAGTTTACACTCATTCAATCAGGAGAAACCAGGACAGTCAGTAGATAGCATGGACTTGTCTGGGGATGGAGAGGGTGGGAGGAGCACGCGTCCCCTGTGGGAGAGGCATAAAGTGGTCCAACCAATTTGGAAAACACTTTGGCACAGTTCCTAGGAAAGCCAAACATGGACATGCCCTTCAGCCCAACAGATCAGGGCACTTCCCACACTGCCTCAGCAGACAGGACCAGGGGGGTTGTGGCAGCACCATCTCTAAGAGCCAGAAAGATCAACAACCCAAATGCTCATCAACGGGATGGCTATGAATACATTGTGTTACATTCAAGCAACAACCAAACCCATCAGAGAAAAATGAATGGGTGCTGAATATCCACTATCATTTGCAAAAATATGATAATGAATGAAAAAGTCAATTCCATTTATATTTTATACAGAGTTAAAAAAAAAACTAAAATGCCACAGTTCTTATATATTACTTTGTTTTCGTGCTGGGTCCTGAACCCAGGACTTCATGAATGCTAAGCAAGTGTCCCACGACTGAGTTACACCCTCAGCCCCAAACACAAGAGGCAAGAGAAATTTATATAGTGCAGGGTGGCAACCGCCTCATGAAGAGGAGCTGAGGATGAGGCATGGAGAAGACACAGGAAGAGGCAAAGGATGAATGTTGAAGGTGGAGAGTTGGATCGTGTGTTCATTGTGTTATCGTGAGCACTACTCCTATTTATTTTATTATTTTTGTGTGTGTTACTGTGTAGCCTTGACTACTATAGAACTCACTCTGTAGAACAGGCTGGCCTTGAACTCACAGAGATCTACCTGCCTCTGCCTCCCAAGTGCTGGGATTATAGGCATGTGTCACCATGCCCAGGCAAGTACTACTACTACTACTACTATTATTGGTTTTTGATTATTATTATTATTGGTTTTTCAAGACAGGGTTTCTCTGTAGCTTTGGAGCCTTTCCTGGAACTAGCTCTTGCTGACCAGGCTGGCCTCCAACTCACACAGACCCTCCTGCTTCTGCCTCCTGAGTGCTGGGATTAAAGGCCTGTGCCACCTCACCCCCACAGCGAGTACTACTTACAAACGCATGGATCAACAAATGAACAGGCTAGGCCTGGAACAGTGAGAACAGCCACCTCCCATGGTCAGAAGGAGAGCATGTTCGAGTGAACCCATGCCTGCAAGATGGAGGGCTTTGGAGAGGTCAGTTCACCCTGCTGGTTGTTTTCTCCGCTAGAAAACTAAATCTTGGCACTCCCTCCAAGGAGAAAACCGGAAGCACATCTGATATGAACCGTGAGCAACTAGCACTCATAAAGCATTCACGGCTCACTCCACACCAGTCTAAGTGCTCTGTGTGTAGTAGCACATTTAACTGCCACCGTCTCCATTGAGGGAGATACTATAGTTAACTCCACTTTATTGGAAAGGACATGGGGGCCCAGAGAGATTAAGTAAGTTCCCCAAAGTCACAGAACGAGGCAGTGGTGGAGCTGAAGCTTGAACCAGGCCTGTGACTGCAGAGTCCACTCTCTCAGAGGAGCGACGCTGGAGAAGCTGAACGCTCGCTTGCTCAGCAGAAGCGCAATTGACCCGCACACTCAAGGGTATTCACTTAACCATTCATTCACATAAACAAAGGTCAGAATCAAGAATGCCTCAGGTGTGTTTGGAAATGACCCTGCCTTCTCAAAGCTTTCTTCAGAGAGTCTCCTCTCATTCTGGAAACCCCTGCTTCGCGTATCTCTGCAAAACCTCCAGTCACCCTCTTCTAAGAGCCTGACTGCATCAGCTCCCACAAAGAACCACCCTCCTTCTTGAGAATCTGCCTTGGCTCTCCCCAGTCTCTACCTGGGACATCTTTAGCGCTTAGCTTGCCCTACCCATTCTTGCAGCTAAGGTCTCCATGGCCCCTACAGGTTGTCCTTGCCAGGAGGTCCTAGGGCCTCGATATCTTGCCCATGCCTGGAGGTTTGCCTAGGTATTCAAGGTAATCAATAGGATCTAGGCAGGAGCCGAGCAGGCAGCTACCAGGATGTACAGAGTAAATGCATGAATGAATGGGCTGGCATGCCATCATGTGTAAATCAATGTGGGTACTTAGAGCAGCTAGGGGACGCTTCTTGAAGAAGAGAGCCCTTTGAAGAAGGATGCTAGACCAAGCCAAGGGAGGATACAGGCATATGGGGAAGAACTGGCAGGGAGAGAACAAAAATACGACCCGTGGTCATGTTCTGGGAGGGGAACCTGGAGCTGGAAAGTCACACAGAGAAAAGCCAGACAAAGGTCCTACCCTCCCCACCCCGCTCCCAAGGCCAGCCTTCTACTTTCACGAGCACCTAACAGAGGCTCAGCTGAGCCATCCTGGATACAGGTTCTGCTCAACTTTTTTTTTTTTTCTTTGCTAAGCAACAGCCCATTCAGGAGGAGGAGGAGGATAGTGACCCTTTAGAAATCTGAGTTTAAAAAAAAAAACCAAACAATTATCTAGTGTGGGAAACGTGTGTTTAGGGACAGGGACAGAAGAGATGACTCCCCAGGATCAACGAGGACCGTGACAAGTAACGCGGTCTTGCGGGATCCCTCCACCCACAAAGCATCAAACCTTAGCGCGCAGCACACACCCATCCCGCAAAAGCTGTTTCCTAAACCCGCATTTACTCCAGGTCTAGGGAGCCTCACAGTCTTGATGGAACCCTACTCAGGACCATCTCACACTTCACCCAGGACTGGAGGAGGGGGCACAGAGACAAGAGCTCCACGGGGGTCTTGTCCTTCTTTGGCTGAGTCTCCTCAAGGAGGCAGCTGGGTGTTGCCCTCAGATCTTGTGATACCATGCCCCCTTTTCCCTGGCACCTTCAGCGTGGCCCCCAATGCCTTCTTCACCTTTCTGTCACCTCAGGCTTGCTTCCCAGCAAACCAGGTGCTAGCTCCTTCCCAACGGCTGAGGACTCTGCACCCCTCTTGGCCTACACAAGGACAAAGGGCCAGAAGCAGTGGAACACCCTTCCCCTCATCAGCAGCCCTCAGTGGGTCCAGGGAAGCCCCAGGCTCTCTGCATGCTTGGTGGACTCCCCTGGCCCCAAGGCCCCGCGCTGGAGTCGTTGGCATAATGGACAGCAGGGCTGAGCCCACAACCGAGAACCAGGAGAGCCGGGCGCCCTCTGGCTGCCCAAGCCCAGCCAAGGACTTGGGGAAGGCTGGACTGGCAGAAAGGGGCTGGCCCAGATGGTCCTGCCCCCACCTCAGGCCTCTTGCACTCCCACCCACCAGGGCAGAGCAGTTCCCATCTTCCATGTGCCCTGGTCGCCACTCCACCCACCCACCACAGGGCCTTTGAGAACAAAGGGGAGGTGCCGCCACAAGAGCTGGTCAGGGGCTGGGCAGAGGCCCCAACAATAAGAGACCCAGGGGACTGCCCACCTGCCTGGTCCCACCCCTCCTCAAAGTGGGACCCACCTAGAGAGAAACATCTTCTGGGGTATCTCAGAGGGCAGGAAGCCCAAAGCCCACCCAAATAGGGTGTGTTTGGGCACACACCGGAGGCTCCTTTCTCACCTCCCCCTTTTTAGCAGGCTTCCACTTCCCACCCATTTCCCTCGGAGTGAAAAGTGGGGCAGGAGGAGGTGAGAAGCCCAGCTTAAGGAAGACAAAGGGGAGCCCCGCAGGTTCCTGGGTCTTCCTCAACTGGACTCCCTCCCTCCCCTTTCTTCCCCTCTCCACCTTCCTTTCACCCGGGAGGAGCCAGAAAGGAACCCGAAAGAGGTTGGGAAGGCTCCCGAGGAGTGAGGGGCAATCCTAGCTGGAGCCTGAAGAGAAACTGCTCCCTAGTTGTGTCCCCAGACTTGGGGGTGTTAGCCAGGGCTGGGGAGGTGGCCTCTGGTCCACTAAAAGGGACCTAAGAGAGCATACCCTCCGGGTGACCAATGCCCAGAATGGGAGGGTGATTTAGGAATGAAACGGAGTGGATCTTTCCTTGACCACGGGTCCCAGTTTGCCAACCCGAGAGATCTGTAAGGGCCAGCGGAAGAAAAATGGGAAAATCATTTGAAACTTGAGGATCAGGCCTGTGATCCCAAAGGGGGTCTGGGTGATACAGGATGTCCTACATAGCCCCAGGGGGGTGAAGCCTGGGGCGGACAGCTGCTCCCAGAGGCACTCACCGCAGGGCTGCCGACTCGGGCTCGGCCACCGTGGAGGGGCTCACCTGCATCTCGGGCGCGCTGTCCGTCCGCTCGGCGCGGTCACCAATCGCATGTCTCTCTTGCCGGCGCGGCCCCAGCCCCAGCCCAGCCCCCCTCCTCCGTCTCCTCCTCCAACACCTCCGCCCGGTCCACGCGCCCTCGCAGGGCTGGCCGTCCGTCTGTCTGTCCTACGCGGGCGGGAGCCCAGCCAGCCCCGGGGCAGGAGCTCGGGAGTCGGGGGCGGAGGTCGCAGCCGAGGCGGGCTGAGGAGCTGGCGCGCTCAGGACGCTTGGCGCGGGCTCCGGGAGCCTAGCTCTGTCCCTCGGGCCGGCCGGGAGCCGCCGCCACGGCCTCTACCGCTGGGGCCGGGGTCGAGGCCGGGCGCTCTCCGCAGCGGGGCCGGGGCCAGGGCTGGGGCCGGTGGGCAGCTGCCGCGCATGCTGCTCAGAGCCCCGCGTCGGGAGGGGGGCCCGAGCGGCGCGGGTGGGGACTCCGCGCGCTCCGGGACCGGGACGGGTCCGGGTCCGGCCGCCGCCTGCGCTGCCGCCCGCTCCGGCTCCCACGCCGGCTCCCGCTCGGGCTCCGCGCTCTGCCGCGGCGTGGGGAGGGAGCGAGAGGAGCGAGCAGCGAGCCAGGGAGGGAGGAGGGACAGAGGGAGGGAGGGAGCTAGAGAGCGAGCGCTAGAGCCGGGCGGGGGAGGAGAAGGCGCGTCCGCAAAACCTGGGTGGGGGTCCTTTCAGAGAACCGGGCGAAGATCGAGGAGCACCCCAGCAGCTGTCCAGCGCCCAAGGGGCAGCGAGAGTGGCAGCGGGGCGCAGACGAAGAGCGCTCCCGGGCCGGCGCCCCCGTGCTCCCGCCCTGCACCACGCAGTGCCCCTCTGGGTCCCAGGCTCCGGCTAGTCTCAAGCCAGCCCGGCTTGCGGTCTTCCTAGGGAGCGTGCACCCATTCGCGTGTGATTGTCACTGACCACATGCATGTGCATGTGAGCGCGTGTGTTCACACGTGTTAACTGGGGTCACTGCACACGGCTGTGTGGACCGACACACGCACGTGGACAGACAGGACCCCCCCCCCCAACCTGGCCAGGGTTGTTTAGAGGACGGCTGAGGAGGGTCAGGCCTTGACCCCTCCTCTCGAAATGTCTGGGACCCCCCCCCCCCCCACTACTTCCTAGGGATCTTGAGGCGAGGCTTGCAGAACCGGAAGCATAGGAGGGCAGTGTGGAAGCCGAGCTTTCTTAGCGGGTCTACCCGGAGGCCAGGTCTAGAAGACGCCTTTGCGTTCTGGTCCCCACCCCGTCGAGTTTCCAGTCCAGCAGAGGGCAGCAGGCCTCTCTGGCAGGCTCCTGAAGGTGGCACTCTACCAAGCAACCAGCAGAGGGCAGCACAGAGCCTCGGTCTGGGCTTAGCTATTCACCACCCAACTCCCTAAAATAAATACCGAGTTTGGTGGATCCTGGCCTCGGACCCTATCTTCAGATGGCCCCAAAGAATAAAATCTTTACATAGAGATCCAGACCTTTCTCAGGCCACAGACACAGAGACTAGCCTGGCAGGGTGGGCTGGCAAATACTGAAGCAGTCAGACAACCCATTAGAGCCTCACATTCTTCTACTGTACGCCCTTCCCATCTGCTCGAAGCCAGATTCCCCTTAAAACTATGCCAGTTTTATTGGAATAACCATCAATGAAGACGTCACAACGCAGAGGCCCCTTCTCCCCATTAGCACCTCAACATTCCTGATAGATTGTGGGGATGCCGGCAGACAAAGAAGGAAGCTGAGCTGGGAGGGAAGAGATCCATCCAAGGCCTGTCCTTTTCTGGGGTGGGCAAGGACCCCGCTCCCAGTACCTCACTCTCCTTCCGAGGAGCCAGCCTGACATTTCAGAGATGCCTGGCTGGTCTGGAGAGGCCAAGCCCAAGTCCCCACCCCCAGCGCTGCCTTGATTTCCACAAATGAACCTCACACACAGTCCAAAGAGTTGCACAAACCTGTTCCAGCGAACCCGATTCTGGATACCTCTCATCCTCACGGCCACACCACTGCTCGGGACACTCCTGCCTTCTGTCTATGGCCATCCTTAGCTCAGGCCTAGCTAGAACCCCTTCCTCGCAGGTGTCGGCGATGCTCCATGCATCTTACATTCTTCATCCAACAACCTCGGGAAGAGACACTATTACTCCCCTGTGACAGCAAGCAGGAACCCCAGCCTCAGAGAGGTTACGTGACTTGGCCACGGTCACACAGCTTGTAAACCGTGGAAAGGGAATTTGAATGGCTTTCCAGGGCTGAGTAAACCAGTGGGAGGCAGGCTTGGCAGAGGGACTTACTGGTAGGAGGGGAGGTGGGGCGGCCACACATGAGTCCCCTCCCTTCCAGAGCCCAGTGCAGGCAGCTCGCGGGGGCCCCCCAATTCCGTGATCCTAGCACCCCTTTCCAGTCTCCCCCAGCTCCCCTACCCCGGCTGTTTGTGAGTTACGGGTGAGCTCCCGCCCTCCCGCGCCGCCTCCTCCCACAGCCCGACAGGAATAGACGCTCTCTAGCTCCTGCGTAAAGGCTCTGCCAGACCCGTTGCGGGGCGGGGGCGGGGGCGGGGGCTATTCCTGGTGCGGCGACTGACGCAGGCAAGGCGCGGCCACCGCAGATCTCCGCCCCCGACTCACCTGCTTCCAGCCTCAGTGATCTGGTCAGAGAAATGGGGGAGAGTCCATCGCCCCCATCCTCAGTCTCCAGTTGCTGGATGAGGAAGCTGGTGTATCAGCCCGGGGTCTTGTGGTGCCCATTTACTCATCGTCTCTCCGTGTCCTGGGGCGATGGAGATAACACCCCAGCTACATCCATTGTAAGCAGCAACCCAGACATTGTTCTTTCTCTATGTCTCCTGAAGAAAATGACTCCTCTCACCAGTGGAAGGAGAGGGTTCAGCTAGGGCCTAGTCGTTGACCATGTCATTCTGACCCCATAAAAAAGGAGGCTAACCCTGGGCCCCCTTCTTAACTAGATGTCTGGTGGGGTGGCTCTCAACAGTGTTCTCGCAGGTCCCAGGGCCACCTGTGGAGCATCAGGATGGCCCAGTTTGGGGACTTCTTTGCTACAACCAGAGCTACAGCTAAGGAATGCTCACTACAACTGTAGGCCTTTGTTGGTCCGTGGTCCACCTCCGGCTAAATCTTTCTTCTGGTTTCTGTCGCATTTCAAGAGCAAATGAAGACCTCTCTCCTCCCTAAGGCCAGACTTAAAGGCCTCAGGCAAGGCCTATACCCCTGTTGCTCTGTTCTTCCACTAGGAGCTCCCAATAACAGGTGGGAATGAAAGGTCTCCATGTCCAACTAAGCGAATCCTAATAAAGAAGCTGGGGGTTCAAGGAACCAGTTGTAGCCTGAATCCTGGCCACAGAGCAGGGCCTGAGTAAGCTTTCCAGGGCGTGTGGAGGAGGGGACCCTCCCTCTAACACAGGAGGAGGGGACCCTCCCTCTAACACAGGAGGGGGGGACCCTCCCTCTAACACAGGAGGGGGGACCCTCCCTCTAACACAGGAGGGGGGACCCTCCCTCTAACACAGGAGGAGGGGACCCTCCCTCTAACACAGGAGGGGGGGACCCTCCCTCTAACACAGGAGGGGGGACCCTCCCTCTAACACAGGAGGAGGGGACCCTCCCTCTAACACAGGAGGAGGGAACCCTCCCTCTAACACATATCCACCAATCTGTAAGCCAGGCTCTAAGCTCGGTTTTCATCTTCATCTCAAGAATGGCATGGCTGTCAGCTGTGGTGGTTCCTATCTGTGATCCCAGCACTCAGGAAACCGAGGCAGGGGATTTGCTGCAAGTTCCTGAGACCCCATCTCAAAATAAAATGATAAAGTGGCTACAAAGAAGGACTGATACTGCGGATGGCATCATACAAAAGAGAAAGTAGGAGCTTGGGCGCAGAGGCCAAGCTGGGCTTTGGCGTGGTTTGTGTTCTATTTCCAAGCCCCAGCTATGTTCTCCTTCCATTCTTAGAGGCTGAAGTTTTAGGTGGCAGGCTTCCCCGGAGGCACAGACTGGAGAGAATGGCACACACAAGCCTGCCTCCGTGTCTGCTGGTCCTGCCTGCTTGCATCCCAGCAGCTCATACGGTTTTACGATGATGGTTATTTCTGAAGGCACTTGAAATTAATGATGGCTCTGAAATGGCTGGGACAGCAGAGTCATTGCTGAGACCTCTAATTAGCAAGAAAAACGGAGCCGAGGAGCTAGGAGGCAGTGGAAGCTGGGTAAGCAGCAGTAGGCATGGGGTAGGGGGGCTAGGGGTGGTGCTGCACTCAAAGCTTTCAGAGCTGGGTGCTCAGGTGAACCTCATATTCTGTTTTGTGCCACAAATTACCTTGTTGTGCCACCTTGAAGGGGAACTGCACCTCTCTGGGCCAAAGTTCCCTCAATTATATGCCAAGGCCTCAGGATTCTTCTGCCCTGCCTAGACAATGGGGATAGTGAGATAAGGTCCCTTAGTTCCTTAGAGGAAAATTCTAGGTTCCTAGAAAGCTAAGTCCTAAACTCAGGGCCCTTGGTACCCCCGGGAGCCACAGCAGAGGCCGTAGTCTACCCCATGCTCTGAAGTCCTTTACGCTCAGGTAAAGGCTGCTGGCATAATTAAGTCCTAGAGATTCGGGCTGGAGCGAAGTGGATTGGGACATGGCAGTTAATCCATAGGTCAGAGCCCCGTGATGGTGCAACTGTGAGGCGGACAAGGGAGTAGGGACCTGCAGGAGCCCAATGCAAAGTCTCCACCCTGGCCACAAGGGGCTCCTGGATCCCACATAGTCACGCCTCTCTGTTCACTCAGGGCTGGGGTTGTAGTGCCATCACTGGGAAGGCTCCAGAGTGAGTGATATGCCCCTGTCTGTCTAGAAGCAGAGTAGTCAGGAACCCTCAGTGGAGGGTGGGGGGTGGGTTGGGGACACGGCGTTAAACAGCGAGGGAAGGTCAGAATGCTCTCAGGGTCCTCAGCAGAAGCCCTGGCAGGGTTGGAAGGCTACCTGGCCTGGATGTGAAGTCCATCGGGGCTGAGAAGTAAGAACTTGGTCTGAAGCCAGGACTGCCTGACCCACTCCAAAGCCCCCAAGAAAAGACCCAATGCCTGACTTTGACTTATCTTGGAATGGGAGGAATCAGAGAAGCGCTCTCTCCACTGGAATAAAAAGATTAAATTGAGAGCAAAAAAATATGAAAATATAGTGATTTGTATGAAGGGACCACTCTCCAGCTCTTGGGGGCCCTGGGCTCTGTGCTTGGCAGAGCAGCTGCTCCTAAGGGCCTGGGCTTGGCGGTCCCCATGGAGCACACGAGGGGAAATTCGAGCTAATGCGTGCAAACAGGCAGCTCTGTTAGCAAACCCATTCATTAAGCACTCATCTTGAGTTCCGATGTCCTGGAGACCCGTCTATTAACTCAGAACCTGTTGTTCTCTGAGGCTACAGGCAGTGTAGTAGATCCAGAGGCCCTCAGGCAGCCTCGGGTTCTAGTTCTCATACTCCCTCTAACTGTTGTGTGACCCTGCACAAGTCACTGCTCTTTCCAAATTTCAGTTGCCCTCTAATAGGCGGAGCTAAGGTGACTCCCAGTGACTCCTGCCTTACAGTGTCTCCCTGGGTCATCCCAATCCCCCTGAGTGCAGATGGACCAACTGACTCACCTCCTTCCCCTTTCCAGTGTCCTAGGGCTTCACACAAGTCAAGCAAGTATTCTAACCATCGAGCAACACCTCCACTCCCCGACTCACTTCTGATGAGTAGAATGTGGCGGAAGAGATGGGATGTCACTTTGGATATAAGATTATAAAAAAGAAAAGAGAAGATGCAGCCTCTGTCTTAGGTGTTTTCTGTCCATGGTCACTTGTTTATTCTAAGGGAAGCAGCTGCCATGCCATCAACAGCTCTATTGAGAAGCCCACTGGAAAGGAACTGGTGTCTCTAGTCAGCACTACAGGACCCAAGGCCAGGGAGCCAACATGGAAGCAGGTGTTCCTCGAGCAGGACTCTGGGAAGATCACAGCTCTCTGAATACCTTGACTGAAGCCTCAAGAAACCCTGAGTCAGAGAAGCAACTCTGCCTCACTTGG